GTCTATAGACCAATTAAATTATTTACTGGTCACATATATGTGGTTTTTTAAAGAATTTGATGACATTGAACGAATTTATTTATTGCGAATTTTAAGGACTGCTAGTAGTATTTTTTATGTATTTGTTTTCACTTCTGCACTTTAAGGCAGTTTCTCTTGTGACCAGAGTTTTAGAGTTATATATATTTTACAATATTGCGATAAACAAATTAGTTTCGTTTAATCTATGGTGGCTGAGGAGTATCATTTTAAAAACACCATTTTGTACAAACAATGTACAACCATAATGAGACTCCTAGCTCGTACATGGCCGAGGAGTATCAAACAATATCGCGATAGTTTTAAACGGAATAGAACTAGCAGTATGGGGCATTAATAAAGTGACAGCCTACTATAAATCTAGAATATCGCAATCCCAACTCTGTCGTATTTAAACCAGTGTCCATATTAATCTTTTACTAGGTTACCGTTTGGTGTGAGCAATAGTACATAGCACGCACACCTGTTTACCCCATAAACCTATATCTAAACTTCTTAAAGAGTGACAACCACTACTAGTATGCATATAAGGCTTTCAAGTTCCTTCAAATATCGGATTGAACTGTTTTACCCTCATTTTTATTAAATACATGGCATAAAATTGAAATTTTTGTTTGACTGAAATGTTGCTTGACTGACTGATAGTTTCACTGCAGTCTGCATCCTTATTCCTAATATGAAAGGCAATTCATATGTTATTTAAAGGGATACAGATACTGGAGATTGGAATCATACGAACCTCACTATAATGTATTATTTCTATACCATCCGTTTTTTGCTTTGCCCAAGACGCCAGGTATGAAGAGGTTATATATACTGTATTGCTTACATTAATTGATTGTATACTTTTAATTTTATCAACACCAACTGAGAAGGGTTGAAAGTGGACAATTTATTTTAAAATTCTATCGTTTAAACAGTGAGCGTGGTAAATCGTGCAAACTAGTGCAGCGCTACACTTAACAACAGCTACGCAATTCTATTCCGTATTCCATAATTTCTATTTATGTCATACTCTCAACTTTGGATCCCCATTGTTAACCTTGCAGCAGCTGTAGCATGGCAGCCTGATATACTCTCAAACTATGATCACACTTCTTTTTAATGGATAAGAGACTCATTTACAATCAAGTACTTGTCAACTCGGCTGCAGTATTCTGTCCGTATGGTGCATTGTCCTCCCATGTCCCTGTCTTCCTGTCACTGCCTTCTGTCAAACCGGGTCCATACTTCAAGCAATTTTATATTGTGACTAATTAACCCTGATGTTGACACTTGAGGGTAATTAATGTATAGTAGTGCCAATACCAAGATGTCTCTATTTTTCTGATTGAGTAGATATACTTGGAGACACGCGTAGGTAAGCCTATCTAAACTACTTGGGGGTGTGGGTGGGGAGGGTGGCTACTTGGAAACATTTTGCTAGATTTTCCAGCTACTACTGCGCATGAGTGTATAGTACATCTAATGCAGATTGCAGATTGACAGTTAAACTGCTTTTACAATTTTCGCAATGTTCAGTCGTCTGCAATGTATGCCAGTTGCACCAAAGCTTTATTGTTATTAATGTTACTTTTGAAGTCCTGATAAATGTCTGCGCTGTATGCCTGTATTGTTTTTTGCTCCCTCTCCTAAAGCTGTGTTCTACACTGGTGGTGCCGCTGCTGCTGCTACTGCTGCCGACCTGAGTAGAGGTGTTAATAAGTTTAGAATGCAGAGCTCTTTTAACCTTTTTGCTAGCAGGAACCCGTATAATATAACCCTAAACGGTGTCAAGACTCAAGATACTAAAATAATTATTACCTATTTAATTCGCGTTTTTGACACCACTTGGGAGTCCAAATTTTCGGCTCTAAAATCATTATTCCTTGGCCAATTTTTTATTTTTTCATATTGATTTGGAGGCCATTAAAGCATTTGACCAAGCCAAAAAAGTTTCAGTTGTATATCTTTTACGGTTTTTGCAGAAAGTCGCGTTAAAGTTGATGCCGTGGTGTCAGTAAAATGGCACAGATATATATATATTTGAGACATTCAGTGAAACAGTAAAACACGAAATTCACATTAAGCTATCGATTGTGTAATCTTTACATGTCTCATTCTGAAAGCAAGTTTATTAAAATAACTGTTCTATGAAGTAAATTAAAAACATGACAAAAATATATCAATACTGAGATGGGAAATTTGTGAGTAAGTCTCATTCAATCATAAGATATAAACAAAAGATGCAGAGGTGAAAGTAAACAACAAAATGCAAGTGTCTGTGGAAAGATTAAATATTAAAGCATATCATATAAAGGTCAATTTTTTATTTCATTAAGAGCACTACGTTTATTAAGTCCTCCAAAATCACTGAGGGTCATAAGCTGGTTTTTCCAAAATGATTCTCTTTCTTTAGCAACCCTACTTCTATCTTCTAAGGTTAAACATTTTATAAAATCTAGCTTTTCAAAAATAATAACCTCTATCTGATCGGATAACTCATTGTCAAACGTTTTTAAGGGCTCTTTGGTAAGATTATGAAACTGGTTATCGTTAAAATGACAAGAAATTTCACCACTCCTAACCGCTTTCCTAATATGTGATTTGTGGTTCTGCCATCTGGTCTTAAAATTGTTAACTGTGCTTCCTACTGAAGCACGTCTGCAGACTTTATCCCTTACTAGATAGCACACCCCTACTGTGTTGCAGTCTAGTTGTCCAATGATGTTAACAGTGTACCCCGAGTGGTAGCTCTGAGCTGTTTTTGATTCACAAATATACATTCTACAGGCTTTACATCTGGAGTTACAATGATAACATCCCCCCTCTTCTATACTAGTAGGCAGAGCCACATTTTCAGTGTTAGAGTTTAAAGCTATAACATTACTATCTTCATGATACTTACGATCTTCTGAAAGTTTACTCGGAACTAAAGTTTCTTTGATAGTTTTATTACCACGATATGAAACAAATACTTTACTAGGCTGGATCACAGACTTTAAAAGGGGGTCTAGGCCAAGGATAAATTTATTCTTGTTAACTATTTTACCAATTGGAGGTAAGTTAGGGTCAAAATCACAAACTAAAGGAAAACATCTTTCACTATTCTTACTATTAGAGCTTGTAAGGTTTTTTGAAATCAGATCATCCCGTTTAAGTAACTCAACTTTCTCAAAGGATTTATGGATAAGATCTTTATTGTAATTCCTATCTTCTAGATATTCACTGAATTCAATTTTACATTTCAAATACTCTTCTTCCTCTGAACAGTTTTTTAACACTCGATGTGCTACTCCATATGGAATATTCTCTGCTATGTGTGTAGGGTGGCAGGATTGTGGGAGTAAATAGCTATGGGCATCACTAGGTTTGCAGTACGTCCTAGTTTCTAGCTTGCAATTTTTCGAGTAAATAAACAGGTCTAGAAATTCAGTTCCCTCTGTAGAAGGTGTCGACATTGTAAACTTGATATATATATATATATCGTCTCGCTTTATATATAGTAAGATTAAACGTTTTCAATAATTAATTGATATCGATCACTTAACATTTACCATATGTTTAGAAATTTGATAAATTAGATGATGTATAAAAAATCTAATTCAATTTTTAATTTTATATCAGCATCCATGAAGTTGCTGCTGCCTGCTATATAATAATCAAATTTATAAGTTGCATCTTAGCTTCGAATATTTGCTGTCATATATTATCTATTATTATCTGTAACTCTCAGTGCTACTCTCGGTGCTACGCCCATATAAACCTTGAGCGTTAAAGTTAGACAGCTTTTTGCAATATGACTAGGAAGAGCCAAAATTCCTATTTTGTTGAAGATAGCTTTTGTGTGAGTCGTGAGTTGGCAATTTAGATTTTTCTCTGTCGTCACGTTATATACCAGTGTAGAGTGATTTATCATTATCCTAACCAGACTGAGACCAATATAGCTTTCTTGGGCATTTTTCATGGCAAATTTTCAAGGAAAAATTCCCAAAAGGTTTCTGTAATATTGTTGACGAAACTTGGACGCTTTATAACACACTGAAATGTCAAACAGATTAATGATTTACAAAGCAGGATGATTGAGATAAATATTGCCGGTCGATTGTTCAATAGGAAACTAATTTGTATTATTGTATTAAGGTTTTTAAAGAAATTTTGGACAAATGGAATTTATTATTTAATTCATATTTTTCCAAAAGTATTGGAGTCTGCCTATTTGTGTCATTGCGAATTGGATGCACGAATAGTGAAAAAAGTTATTCAGTTCTTCTAGGCTTTGCTGTTAACCAAATAATACAAAGGCATCTTATCCTGAGGAGATTTGGTTGCATTACTTAAGCTGAATAATTTAGCCCAAATTATGGGATTTGAATGTCCAACTGTCCAACATCTCCATTACTATGGACCTCCTAAACTATTTCATCCTAGGAATTCTTTACCTTGACCTAGACATAAACTTGATTAATGCAATTACGTCTACAAAGATAAAATTTAGTGGAAGCTCACCTTCAGTATGTTAATGACGACTCTCGTTCTCCTTACAACTGTAATTTTAACTCTGTGACTAGATATGAGGTTAAGCTGCTCCTACGCTTTCTAACTCTGACCTGTCAAAAAGCATGTTAGTTGAATTTACTGAATTGATCGGTCTACAAGAGAGGTCGTCAGTTTTGTTAAATTATTCAAAGCGTACAAATGCATCACATACAGCCCAGGAAGGCTGGCTAAGAATAGAAATGCCAAGAATTTCTAGAGGTAGAATTTTGTCTTACGAATTTTGTTGAACTAAGTTAATGAAATTCGCTTCTTTTCTTTTTTTATTACCTAGTGTTACCTCAACAATTGCAATGCTCTGTTCTTTTGATACACGTTCGATAGACTTTGCATCGAATTCCGCCCACTAATAGTCTCAATCAGTTTATAAAATTTGTTAAATTATCACAACGTTTATTCCTGAAAAATAACCTGTTACCAGATGAATGACACAGAGTGTGATGGCATTGTGTTCCGGAAACGTTCCAAGGCTTCAAAGTTAATGGCACTCAGAGACATATCCAAAACATCCAGGGTAACAATTACACGTAATTTAGTTTTTTGAGAACCTGACATTAATGTTCCCACCTGTCACGGAACAATTAAAAAATCTTTACATTTTAACACCAATAGGCTATCAGCTAACAGCTTAGTGTCTAGAACATGTTGATGTCTCCGGACTGTACTTAAGAAGCACTTAACACAATTAGTTTTCAGCATTACAGAATTATAGAATCTATATTCGTGTCCATGTGCAACAGCAAGCTTTTCAACGATATTGCAGTACAGGATGAAAATGATTGGATTGTCAACCACCAGTCAGATGAGCAAACGTTTAATGTGAGTATCTTATTAAATTGATATTCGATATTATAACCCGTCCTACTGTCATATTTCTTCCGATAGTTTTAGTAATTATAATCCTATTATCAAGACTTTATGATTTGATTTGAAACGTTCATCAAATAAAGAACAACAATAATATTGAAACAATCATTATCTTATTTAGCTGATCACATTTATTTTCACATCACAATGATGCTGCTCTTCAGACTTATCACATCCCATCACTCTCTACGCCGATAACCAATTGGATACACTTCTTACCTAAAGATATTTGCTGATGACACCAAACTCATCGGCAAGATATTGGACCTGGCCACCATCGCTACAAGAAGAAATTTTTCAATGTTATTGCTTGGGCTCGAAGAAACAATATGCAGAAGAAATAAATTCCATTTCTACTTTGGACCTGTTCAAATCGTCACTGACTAAATTCCTTAAAGAATTCCCCGACACCCTCCCTACTAAAGGATAATACCACTACTTTGTACATCTTGTACATCTTGATCCACATATGGAAAATTCTCAATGGCCTGGCCCCAAGTGATATTGGCATGCTGTTCAAAATCAACCCCCGACATGGAATAAAAGCTACTTTACCGGCATTGAACAACAAATCACAGCACTCTGTGGCAACACACTATGAAACCTCATTTGGAGTGAAAGAGGCACAGCTGTGCAATCTTCTTTCCGAAGAAATAAATTCCATCTCTACTGGACCTGTTAAAATCGTCACTGACTAAATTCCTTAAAGAATTTCCCGACACGCCCCCTACTAAAGGATACTACTACTACTACTTTGTCGGAACTAAGTCCGATCTACGCCAGATAACCCCTTCCATGATATATCCCTGTCCCGCATCAGGGTTCGCAGTTCCTCTAAAGGATACACCGTTACTAACAACAACTCACTCTTGGAAGTTGGAATGGTAAGTCTTACAAAAAGACCCCAATGGAGTGATAGGAGGACGTACAGTTGATAGTGTTGTCCTGAAGCAATCCCAGCCAAACCTACTCAAAGTACTCAAAGTAAGTACTCTAAGTAAACTGTGCTAACCAAATTCCTCAATCTAGGACTGGTGCAAGTCATACAGTGTGGTTAAGAGCACGAAGAGTAGGATTTGTATTCAACCTATTGGTGACTTCTCCGGTCCTGGTCAGAAACTGTTATCATGGCTCCAATCCTTCTGCTCTGCCTTCTATTTCGGAGTTCAGGTACCATATTACAGTAGTCACTTTATTATCGAGCCTCTTGGAGAAAGGAAATCAAACATCAATCGAATCGCTCTCTAAACTTAGGCCAGATTTACATAATGTAACACATACAACTACTTATTGGGAGAAAAATAAAATATTAATCGAATATTCAGTAAAGCCCGATAAACCAAGGATTTACTGCTCTGAGAGCTAAGAGCGTTTGCTATGAAATATAGTAGTCTAAGACACCAGTGTTACACATGTTACCATGTATCATGTAATAAGTGCAATCCAAACTCGGAATTAATGTTTATCACACTCAATTTGTGCGAAATCGCCCATCAACCAAGCAAAACTCAGTATCTTGATAAAATTAGTGTACCAGAAACCCTAGTCGCTCACTCAAGAGCTTAACTGGGCATCCTACAAGTTTAGTGTCATAAAGTATGCATGTTATGTGGCCCACTAAGGTCCATGTCATTATAACGGCCCACCAACCAACCAACTGACCAACGTGTCACGTAGGGTCTAGCTTAAGAATGTGATTATAATATGACGAACGTTTGAGATCAAAGTTGATAATATTTGGTTTATATGGACTGAAGACCAATATGATTATCTACTATGAATCGCAAAGTTGTATGTAGAACTTATTCTAGAACTATAATAGTATAATCATAATAATTATTTACAAGTTATAATTTGTATATTGCCGCGTAATATTGCACTACGGATTTGCCACACAGGTAGCGGTGTTGCCGCCAGTCAGTGCCTCTAAAATAGGATGCAAGTGCAGAATAAACCCTGAAACAAGGAGGTGCCAATTGCGGGCAACCGACATCATAGATCATCTAAAACAAAGTGAGTACATTTCACTCAAATTACACCACATATTTAGGATATTTTATTCGGCTATTTCAGATGTTTTCAGTGATCACGGTGTCTTTTGAAATCTCTAAATTTCAAGTTTAATCGTTCCGTTTGAGTTAGAATTCACACTCGTTAATTCTGACTACTGTGACTGCAACTCAAAACCACACTGAATTTATATTCACGAATGTAACATGACATTGCATGTAATCCTTTATTCCGCGAGACAGAGCGGTATTGCTCTAACTTGCCAGACGTTAGTATGTGACCAGTGTGTTATCCTTAATCTTAAAAGTTTAAACTGAAAGTATTCATTCTAATGGTGTCGCAGGTGTCGGCTATATAGTATATATCCGCACATGTGTTGATAGATTCCTGTTTTTTAACTCGCAGATCTTAACAAAGTTAGCAGATCTTTTCTCATTTTCTCAACCCGCGATGACACGGGAACACGCCGTAACCTTTCACCTTTTGACAGGGTGAAAATTTAAAATGTCATAACCTCGCAGCTCTACAAATTACAAGTTGCAGCTTGAAATATTGTAAAATTTCTAGGTGTTAAGCAAAAAGACTCTGCACTCACAATATAATATTATTTTATATATACTATTGGTTTTATAGTAACTAATTTCTGTTGCCGTTATTTGGATTCTCTAGCTTGGCCGACAGTTGATACATCACGATTATTTCAATGACGTAGGTCACAGCAAAAAACGGACAGAGCATTGGTTAGGACCCTCCACTAACAGACACTATTTCAGCTCGCAAGCCGCATGCACTTTGTACCGTAGCGGTCACAATGATCGACTTGTACCCGAAGGAATCCTGGAACTTTGTATTTGGTGAGCTTCTATACGCGTCATCCGATGGGAATTGAGCGTTTTAAAACGTGTGGTTCTAGTAAATGTAGCGTCTCTGTCCGCGTTATCCGATGGCAACTAACCGTCTTAAAGTTGATGGATCTTGTGCGCACTTTTCCCCATTCTCCTGAAATATTTCCGTGCCCAGCAGACTGAATACTTACTCAATCCCCGTTAAACTAAAGTCAATGACTAAATACTAAATACTAATGAATATAATAGCTTGAAACTTCGTGAAGCAATTTGCTTTAACATGACTTACATTCAGGAACTGGGAGCTCAATATACCTAATATGACTGCTATCGCTCAGATAAATTGTAATTTTTTCATTAATTAGCAGTCACCGCTGCATAACTAGCCGAAGTTAAACTTTTTATCCTCATTTGCTCAATTTGATTAAGACGGATATCATCATCTGTCAAGAATATCTGCAAGTGTATATTCCTTGCCCAGATGTATAATCGCATGATAAGAATGTTTCATCCTTCCAATTACTATCTCATTTACTAAACACATGTACTCTGTGTGCAATGTACATATAATACACATAATATCTTAAATATATCATATACATTTAACGCGCGCCAATTCCTTAGAAGCGTCTGGCATTACACATATTGCCGAGATGTACAATGTACAGTGATTTGCCACGTCAAGATGATTATTTAGAAACAGAATGAAACTGTAAGAATTCAGAATAAAAGTGTGAGAATTTCCAGGCTTTAATTTTCATTGTCAAAGATAACAAAGAATATCCTTATAAACTGAAACAACTATTTCCAACCCACAGGTTTAGCGAGTCTAACGTATGGAGTGGGAGTTTTCAGTTTTGCGCGTTACACTGACACTTTCTACCGGACCCCGCCCGCCAAGGAGAGCACAGAGAACTATATGTGTTCTGATATTACTGCTAAATTGCTCTGGAGAGCTTGCAAGGTATCTTTCTGCCAAATTTGAGTCTTTGTTCTTACTGTTATGTGTCGGATTATGGCGTGATGTTGTGTTGGTATGGCTTCGAGTTTTGAGCGATTCTTATAAAAAGGCATATTGAACTATCATAGGATTGCTTTTGATATGTATCTGAGTGGATCGACTTGATATGAAGGAAGCCGTGCAACTGCAGCTAGTAACGTGTCCACAACTTTACAGCGCAATTACAGCACAGTTAACTGTCGAGAGTTAGTACGAGAAGCAACTTTAGGAAACTGGCTGTCTTCACTCTTATAATTGACGGCCAATTAATAAACAGGTTAATGGCTCGTGGTACCACACTGCATTTCCATACTGCATTTCCATACTGCATTTCCGCGAGCTCAATAACAATAATTTCTCTAGCTCTAGTGTCAAAGTGTGGTTAGTTACTGTAGTTTCAGTACGTTTTTCCTGGACCACCATAAAATGCTGGTGTTTCGTATTACTGAGAATTGATATTTTAAGAAACAATAAATATTCCCGGCGATTGATAATTATGCGAAAATTTATGTCATATATACAATACATTATATACAATACATTATATAGTATAGTATACAATACCGATTAAATTAATTTAGCATTCCATAAATACATTTCCCATAATCCTGCGGAATCGATGTCTTATTTAACTCGCCATATAAAAAAGTTGGGCAGAACTTTCATTAACTTGATAAATTTTAATTACAGTCCTTACAATTGGCCATAACTAATTAATATTTTGACTAACTGTTTATAGCGAACTGCTCCAGTCACGGCCTGCCCAGACAAATTTCACGTAAAGTAAAAATGTTTTAATGTAACATAAAAAGAACGTGAATCTATTTTTACAGTGCGTAAAAGTATGCGGCTCACTTCAATTTTAGCGACAATGAAGATGTAACACATTTTTTGAATAATTTAGCCGTTAAAAGTATTAATGGAGTTACGGATGGCAACATTGATGGTTTAGCTAAGAATAGATACATTGTGTTAAGACATTGCATAATGCACAATAGTGACATGATCACCGCAATAACTCCAATAGCAAGCGTAATCTTTTGTGGCGGTCAAACTTTCTCTCCCATAACAGATTTATAGATGGTGACAAACATTTCTTGCTTGGTGGTTCAATTACATTGAGTTCCGAATTGTGAAGCTTTCAAATTTGTATGCAAATAATGATGATGGAAAATTATTGTCGGGGAATGAAACATGGAGGAAAAGTATCACTCTCGGGTCCGTCCTGTGTAGCAAAGCTGATATTCAGCGTCGCATTAATCTGGAAAATGCTGCCTTCGAAAACTACAAGAAGGTCTTGAGTAATAAACTGTCTCTAAACAAACGTCTAATACTGTACAATGCTTTAGTCGTATCAGTTTTTATGTATAACTCATCCTGCTGGGTGATAAATAAAATCTATGTAAAAGAAATCTTTATATGAATAATATTTTTGATCTGTATTATCTCCGTAATTTAGCTTATGGTTTAGCTCTTGTTATTATTTATTTAATAATGATGATTTATGGTCGAATAATCAAACATAAATTTCGACGGAATTACTGCTGTGGATTTGAGGAGTGTCTGTGAGGATAAATAGAGGCTCAATGAGGGTAAATAGAGGCTCAATGAGGGTAAATAGAGGCTCAATGAGGGTAAATAGAGGCTCAATGATGTTAAATAGAGGCTCAATGAGGGTAAATAGAAAACTGATGACAATTGACGACACTCTCTCCTCGCGATGACAACGTCTGTTTTCAGACTACCGACCTCTAGCAGCTTGCACTCAATAGCAGTTCAGGAAACTAGGCCGGCAGACTGATGTACACCACAGATAGCTCCTAGGCAATTATCGGACGCCACTTAAAGTGACTTAATGATTGTAAATTATTAATATATAATATGATACATGATATATCCTTTATTGATATTATATTGTATTATATTATATTATCAAGCTCCAATCCCAGGTAATGACACACGAAATCGGGCATATGTTTGGGATAAAACACTGTGTATATCACAACTGTGCAATGAACGGCAGCAACCATCTTGCGGAGAGTGATCGACGAGCTGCTTCCCTCTGTCCTATATGTCTCAGAAAACTTCAGGTATTTACAGTGTTCAGCAGTTGTAAACGAATCTTTATTATAAGTGATAATATTCTTATCGTCTTTAATGATTGAGTAATTTAAAGTCTGGGCGGCGATGCTTTGACAGTTTGACAGTTTATCAGTTATAATATTCATATCGTCTTTAATAATTAATTAATTTCAAGTTTTGGCGGCTATGTTTTGAACTTTTGACACTTCAACAGAACAGTATTAACAACCTTTCTGGTGACGCAAAGTCACCAATCAGTTCAGAGGGTTTAAAATTTACAGCACAATACACTTGTGCTAAGTAGACGGTATATACATGGCGCAGTGCAGCGCTAGTAGTAGTGCAGACTTCGTGCATACATGTATAATGTATATATCAGTATACAAGCGTGTTTGTTTCTCCTCTCAGCAAAGTGCTCAACTAATGAATATGAGCTTTCTATAAGCGTGACAAAGTAAACGATGTTATCGTGCAACTAAAAGTTTCATGTGGATGTGTGAACAACAATCTTCAGGGATTGTTGTTCGCACATCCACATTGAAACATTTAGTTGGACATAATTTACTTTGTCACGCTTGTATATCAGTATATTATGTAGTTATTGTAGGCGTCTCCTACTTTCTGACTGAGAAGAAGTAGTGTATCACGTAGTTGAGGGAACTTGTTTATCACATACACGAGATAAAACAAAATAGCTCAAGGTGAGATATACTATTTCATGTGAATGTGACTATCCAACTATTTTTACTCTACGCTGGATTTATAGATAATCTTGGGTAGATTTCGGTTTAACAACACTCGAACTGACCAGCCATTTTCTAAGTAATATAATAAGTAATGAGTTTGGTAAATAAAGCCTGCACCTTACATTATTGATCAGTTCATTACCGCCCACTTTGTGAAATGTGTGCTACTCAAATGCCCTTTTTAATATATTTTTGGTAAACTGATATAACCTGTGCCGTGACTCTGTATAAGATAACGATGTGTTGCAACTGGTAATATTTGTAGTTACAAGTCTGTCGAATAATGGGATTAAGATGTTTTGAAACTTAACAATTTGCACTGTTAAAAATGTAACAGAACTGATTGAATTACTACTAGGCGAGTCCATTGCTCTCGTGTACAGCCACTATGAGAATGGTGGATTGAGATCCAGCCAATTTCTTGATATGCATCAGAAGATGGCATCCTGACAAGCATCAATTCACGTATAGCACGTCAATTTTTAGCAGATGTTGTGCACCTTCATGACTCGTATAATACAAGCACACATTTGACATGGTCCATATTTGAAATACATAAGGTTCATTTTGTGTGAGAGATATTTACGTGGATATACAATGGATCATACATTATCTAAGAGTTATGTTTAGCCTGATGAATTGAAAACAGACAATGGGCAAAAGTCGGTAATTAAATAACCAAATCTAGCAGTGAACAACCAACGCCCAGGTTCGGTTTATTAATAGAATTCTAATTTCTACACATCAGATCTGAGATCTTCTTTAATTAATGCATTAATTAAGATCTTGCATTTTCGTTAGTTCCACTCAAGAATCTTTCTTTTGTATAATTTCTGTTATGGCAAATCTGAAGCCACAGCATAAATTTAGCCTTGGCTCCTCGTGCAAACAACGCCAGTCATTCTATATTTGAATTACGGTATTTATAGTTGTACCGCGCGATGCAAATATAATGTACTAAATGAAATGACTGGTTGTTCAGTGCAACAATTTATATCATATCATGCAATCGGTCGTACGTGCGCGCGTCCGTCTTTCTGGCTCATGCACGCATGCGCGCAGTGCACAACTTTCAACCTAGAATATTTGGATACCCAGATCCTATATACCTTACTCGGGATTATTACGACGGGTTCATTAACGACCGGTTAAAATATGGTTCGGGAAAAATATGGCGAAATTGCTCAAAACCCACCACATTTTCCCGGTCGCCATTTTACCGGTGTCCAACCTTTCAATTTTAGATTAAAAAATTTTGTCTCAGATGTAAATTTCCTTATTAGAGATAAGCAAGTTTAGAAATTTTCGCATTGCTAAAACTTGTGAAACAAGTCGAATTATCAATAATTGTTGAAAGTAGACAGAAATAATGACTCGTGGTTAATCAAACTAGATGGAAAATAATTTTAAACATTTGAAGCGTATTAACAACCAGATCGATATTAAGATAAAGGGAGAGCTGTTTAGTCTCCCAATAAGTTGTAATCATCTTCGTTATCTTCATCTGGATCATCCCTTTCATCAGTTTTAATTAATTCAAGTTTTAATTTAACTGTTACTTTTACTTTGAGTCCTATTTCATTATGTAAAGATAGTCAATACCTAAGAAATTAAAAATTGGCCTATTTAAATCAAATTTGACAATAAGGATATATGACAAGAATTGGGCAAAAAGGTGAATTTTTTGTAATTTTAGCCAAATGAAGTCGAAAAACCTACAACAAGTGTCCCAATAGTCTTCTTTAGTGAATATAAGACAACGATTAAAATATGAGCACCCATACCCCTTGGGAACCCTAAAAGCTGAGTAGGCGGGTTTATATAAACCCGCCTACTCAGCTTTTAGGGTTCCCAAGGGGTATGGGTGCTCATATTTTAATGACCAGGATAATGTGGTGGGTTTAGGGTAATTTCGCCATATTTTTCCCGAACCACATTTTCACCGGTCGTTAATATTAACGACCGGTGAAAATGTGGTTCGGGAAAAATATGGCGAAATTACCCTAAACCCACCACATTATCCTGGTCATAATAATCCCGAGTAAGGTATCTGCTATACACTTGACGGATGTTAATCGTCTCGGTCTAGATTTCTTCGAAGTAGCGCGCGCCGGTCCAGACCATTATTATTAACAATGGCCAACTATTACACGACTGTATAGTCCGACAGCGACTCCTGCCCGAATGCCAACCGTTTGATTTTGAAATGAACTGTCCATTTCATCTATAAAAGTTAAAACAAACCGAAGAAACTTTACCTTAAATTGTAAAACGAGCAGAGCATTCGTATTGTGATTTGTGAATCAATTAAATTTAAATATTGGATCGAGATTTTTTGATTCATCATTCATCAGCTGCGCATCTATCGTGTTGAGGGGACCATGATACCATGCCACATGGCAATATGGATCCATATACAGTAAAACCCAACTAGGTAGTTCCTTTCATAACAGTTAGACCATGGTTTATCTTCTCAAGAACGACGCACATTTCCGGCCCCTTTTAACGGTGCCATCCTTTTTTTTTCATAAAATTTGTGTCCTCAGTTTTCCCTTATTAGAGATAGCAAGGGTTTCCTTGCTCTTGGGAACAAGTACGATGTACAGTTTCTTGAAAGAACAGATAAGACCGTGGTTATCACTGATGGAAAATAATGTTTTAAATTTTAAGTTAACAATCAACAATAGACAAGGGGTTTTTCTCCTGAAGTAACAGTAGTGTACTAGTTCCCCCTTTCACAAACAAGTTTAATTTAATTTACTGTTTCACCTTTCATTATGTAAAGATAGTTACCTACAAATTAAAATGGCTATCTGAAATTGCATAAGGATTTTGAAAGATGGCAAAAGGTGAAGTTTTTTATTTTGAATGAATTGGAAAAACTAACAATTCCTTCTCCTTGGGAATATAGTACAACGAAAATTAGGACGATTTTGGATTTACCGTGAAGTTTGTGGGAAAGGAAATGCATCCGCGGTAAATCGGGGTTTGTTTGTTAATACATAATATTTATATACATGTTAAGCCTTATTATTTGGGGGAAAGGAGATGGCTACGGTAAATAATCGGGGTTTTACTGGAATAGTTTTTGAAACGTGATGCAGTGGTTTAACCGGTCAAGTATTATAGTAGCAGGATTGACCGATATTGATAGGACTGGCAGGCCAGAGTAAACTTATTTATAATCATACGGGTATATGCCTCACAGAATGGCTAGCCTCACAGAATGGCCAAATTTGTAAATGTTTTTGTAACTAATTTTGTATATAAGACTGGTAGGTTTTGTGGATACCATATGAAACAAAAGTCTTCTGGCAACACTTCCTGTGGTGAAATCATTAACTAGGACCACATTTTGTGGCATAAATATGACTGTTTATGTAGAAAAAAATTTTTGAACTAAGTTTGCATTTTGGTGAGAACTTCTGGCACCAGTATGACAGAAGATGTTTAAAGAATAGTATTCATCAAACAAAACGAACATTGTTCAATATAGGAAGAAAAAAAATGCTAAAATGGCTACACGCCTCACAAAATGGCCAAAATGGCAAAAATTTAAAACTCCTTTTATTGATGTAGAAATGTTAGTTTTGATGGTCTAAAGTATTCCCAAGCTATTTACCATACAATAACACCCCAGATGGAGTGTTTTTACAGCCGAATGAAGGTTATAAATCATGAAATCAGGGAATATGAACAAAATGGCCATTTTTGGTGTAGGAAATTATGCCCTTTGCATTCAGTTCTAAGAAATTTCACCTATATGGGGGTGTTAACAAGGCATATATATACAAGCAGCATACCTGAAACAAGATCCAAAGGTTTTAGAAAAAAAAATTTTTCTCGTTTTCTTTCTTTTTTTGGCCATTTTGTGAGGCTTTTTTTTTGTTTGTGAAATAATTTTTGACAGCTCAGTTTTTTCGTGAGTTTTAGGTTATTACCCCATTCCTTAACAGGTTTTCTAACAACGTGTGGTGATAGAAATTTAAAAAGTATCTCTATCAAACAATTATAGAAATTCAGATTTGGCCATTCTGTGAGGCATGTTTTTTTGGAGGAAGATTTTCCGGCCAATTTTTCTCAAAGAAAAATTGGTTATGAGATTAAATCAACCCCCGGGAAGAAAAATATGAGTGTCAACTTAGCTTCTTATGAGATAAAAACTGGAATAAAGTGTGTTTTGTGATTTTGAGAGACCTTCCTTTTTTTTGGCCATTCTGTGAGGCATATACCCGTAACTTGGTTTGAAGTCAAATGTGTATTTATCTAATTATAACGGATGACCAAAAATGGATTTAAGTCATTTGTCAAAATTTGTTCCAATTACCGACACAAATATCAATCAACGAAGCAGTCGATCAAATGGCTTTCTCGTTCAAATAGATAAAAGTTTAGTTAGCAATGTTTGAAGTACAAATTGGCGACATTTGAAGGTCTAATAGGTGGTACTTGTTTTATTTAACGGCTACATTTGGTTCAGTGCTGGATAATTTCAAACGGATTTCTGATCGTCTATTTCATTCGTATTAATGATATCTAGTGCATAGTGCAGTTGCTTCTCATAAGCCATAATCAGTAGGAAGTCTACTGTCTAGTTATAAAAATATATAATGTTTGCTCTTAAGTCTTCAATCATTTATGATTATCGTTGCGAATCATTCACGGAAGCAAACATCCTTTTCAGGAAGCCTTGAAGTTTGATCTAGCTGACAGATATGGGGCATTAGTGAAGTTTTGTGAGGGCAGTTTGACTGATTCCACGACGCCACTCTCGGAATTTGCGGACTACGGAGAATGGCTGAAGAAAGCCCTTAGTTTTCTGGAGAGCAAACAATACAAATCCCAAGTCGGTAAACGACCAAGATGACAAAATAGCGAACACTGTTAAAATGTTTAAATATGTTAACTAAAATGCAGGAGGATTTTAAGAGCAAGGTCCGGCCAGAGGACGTAACCCCTTTTAATGCTATACCTTAAATAGCTGCTTTGATAAATTTTATTTTCTTAATTTGTCTAGATACAATTTGTTTTTTGTTTTTAGTTGCTAAAGTTAAACTAACATTTCTGATAATTTACTACAAAAGGATCGTATTGTACGACAGTTGTTGAACATTTTCACTTTTTTAAACATTCATTAATGAAACAAGCCTAGTTATCACTGCGTAAAAAGCAGAAGAGATATAAATAAGGTAGCTCTGTTTTTATGGCAGCAGGTTAAACATAACCCAAGGGTCTGGTATGTAATCATCACTAATATATTAGATATATAATAAGCAACATTAACACAACAACACCACGATATTATAACGTATAGAGATCGAGCCCGAGACCCACAATGCAATTTGCAACGGTCGTGTCTTTCTGATTCATGTTTGTCATAAAAGTGCTAAAGAATTAATTTAAATGTAAACAAACCCCAATTATCTAATTACAACTTATTATTGTACAAATACATATTATTATTATATTATGCTATTACTTTAATACGCAAATATGTAAGAGAATCTCAACAAAAGAGGTAAAAAGAGTCTAACAACAATTGATAATGTATGCATCAAACTTCGACTAAATTATATCTATCGAAATTCCTACATCTCCGCTGTTCCTTTCAGGCCTTCTTTCTCTCGTTGCTGAAAATATTACCCAGATCATAAATTGAATCATACCGTAATCAATGGGTTACAATTCGATCTCACATTGTGTCAGTGGTGTAACGTTGCCTGTTGGCGCCCTCCCGCCGAAAAAGCGCCCCCCCCCCCCCCCCCTGTTGGCGCCCCTACTGGTCCAGTAAGTCGATCAAACCAAACTCCAGCAAATCGGCTTCCGACACGAACTCGGGACTAGCCTTTATGGAGTTCATATCTTCAAACTTCCTAGAGCAGCTAGTCGATGAACCCACTAGGAAGGACCAAAACATCCTTGACCTGATCCTATTCAACAACTCCGACTTAATCCACGGTTTATCAGTGTCAAAGACGGAGAAATCAGACCACGACATAGTGACCTGTACTCTCCTCCACCCGCAGTTCCTACTTGAGCAACCAGCAAGGAAAGAGTACAGTCTTGCCACAGCACTTGATGACATCAACTTCAATGCTGCTGACTGGGCCTTGATTAACAAGGAACTCACTACTGTAGACTGGTCGACAGTAACCAACCCTTCAACTAGCCAAGATGCTGCATGGGATATGTTTGAAGGGATCCTTGTGCAGATCTGCAAGAAACACGCACCTTCTCATAGCCACAATCGTCAAGCCGCAGCATCTTCAAAAATCCCAAGGTCAAGGGTGGCTCTCCTTAGAAAGAAAAAGCGCCTTAATGCCAGGATCAACTGTATTAAATACAGATTTTGTGGCCCTTCTCCGCCTCGCAATAATGTCAAGATTCGCAAGCTGGATGAAGAGAGGGCTGCTGTCGAGATGCTCCTTAAAGCGGACATTAAACAGCAGCGAGCCAGAGAAGAACTTGTTGCTCTTAGTAAGATCAAGACTAATCCTAAGGCGTTTTATACCTTCGCAAAGAGGTTTAAAACCCCTGCTGCATCTGTCGGACCCCTATTGGATAGTGATGACAAGCTCCAGTCTGATCCAGCCACTATGGGTAATATCTTACAGGATCAATATGCGAGTGCTTTCAGTGACCCTAAAAAGGCAAATCTAGCCGAAGTCCGGACGTCCAAGGTCATTGAGCAACCTCATTCTATCACAGACATCGACTTTAATGAGCAAGATATCCTCGACGCCATCAAAGCGATGAATCGTTTCTCAGCAGTCGGACCTGACAAGTTCCCAGTCCTAATCCTCAAGGAATGTGGAATTGTCCTAGCTTTGTGATAACCAAGCTTTGGAAAGCTTCGCTAAGCTCTGGTGAAATAGCTACAAAATTCAAGAACCAGAGTATTATCCCCCTTTTTAAAAAGGGGAAAAGGTCGATTGCTGCCAACTATCGACCGGTATCTCTAACATCCAACCTCATAAAGATGTTCGAGAGGGTCGTCCGCGCTAAGCTGGTTGACTACATTGTAGCTCAAGACATCATCAACCACGATCAACACGGCTTTCAAGCTGGAAGAAGCTGTCTTACTCAACTTCTTCACCACGTCCAAGACATCATGGATGACTTAGATGGTGACGAAAATGCTGATATTCTGTATCTTGATTTCAGCAAAGCCTTCGATAAGGTAGATCACGCTATACTATTGAAGAAGCTCCATATGTACGGTATCCAGGGCAACGCCCACCGCTGGCTGGAAAGCTTCCTCAGTGGAAGAACCCAACATGTCGTTGTCGATGGTATTGAATCTCTCGTCATAATGGTGCTAAGTGGGGTACCACAGGGCACTGTGTTAGGCCCACTGCTATTTATTTTGTATATCAACGACCTGTTCCTAGTTGTAAGACATTGCAAAGTAAAAGTGTTTGCTGATGACTCCAAGCTCCACAAAAACATCAGCTCCCCGTCCGACTGCAAATGTCTCCAGGAAGATCTCTGTGCAGTAGTGCGATGGGCAGTAGCAAACAACATGGAGCTAAACGAAAGTAAGTTCCAACTTCTCCAGCATGGTAAGAACCCTGAGCTAAAGAAACCCTACATTTTACCATCTGGTGCATCGATATCTTCTGATGATGTCGTGAAAGATCTCGGTGTGTATGTTGACAGTGATCTCTCCTGGCGTCAACACATCACAAGAAAGTCTTCTGAGGCAGCGAGCAAAGCTGGATGGGTACTGAGAACTTTCTCTACCAGAGACAAAGACACGATGATGATGCTCTTCAAGACATACGTCCGCTCTATTACCGAGTATTGCTGTGCTCTCTGGTCGCCTCACCTGCAGTGTGACATAATCATGATTGAGTCGATCCAACGCTCATTCACTGCGAAAATAGCAGGATACAAGCATCTTAGCTACTGGGAGCGCCTGAAGCAGCTTGATCTCTACTCCCTACAGCGCCGCCGCGAGAGGTACATGATCATCCTTGTCTGGAAAATTTACTACGGTGAGATTCCCAACAGTGTAAACATTTCTTTCCAACACTCTCAAAGAAGAGGAGTTACAAGTCTTCGTCCTCTTGGCGGATCAAAATACAAAAGCATCAACACCATGAGGTTCCATTCTTTCCCTTCAGTGGCCTCTGCTTTGTATAACGTTGTGCCTCACGACATCAAGTCTATCCCAACCTTGCCAAAATTCAAGGCAGCACTTGATCGCTTTCTCCATACCGTCCCCGACACCCCTCCTACCCCTGGATATACAGGGGCAAATGGCAATTCAATCTTGGAATGGGCTGTGAGCAAGACATGATAACGGAGACACCGGTGGTGGAGACGCAAGATGTCTTGGCCTGGGCGTGCTAGCCCGAAACGAACCCAAGGTACCCAAGGTATTGGTGCCCCTCCCTAAAATTGAACAAATTAGGTGCTTTTAGAGGATACGCCGGTAAAATCTCTATAAAAGTGTGTATCTAGAGCAAAACGCGCAGTTTTGCTAGTACTTTAGTTAAGTTTTCGAAATTGTCCCACATTCAAACGACGATTTGGCGCCCCCCCCCCCCCCCCCGCACAGCGGGGTCAGCGGGGCCCTTCGTTACGCCACTGCATTGTGAACTAAAAAGTTCAGATAATGCTCTGTCGTGCGCATGATAAATATGATGGTCGAGTTCACAACGTAGAACCGTTCGAGAAGTTCGTGTTTGGAATTATGAGAAACCTCAAACTATTTAAAAGAGATTCTACAGCAACTTACCTTATCAAGTTCAGCTTTGGTGGTATCCTCCAGAGCTCGAATATCTACCATAGTCATACTACCCCATGTTTTATGAGTACAGAAGAGTTGACGATGGAAGTTTGTAAACAATCGCCTTTCAACCTGAGGTAAACTTAAAATGTACCACATCATGTTAAATAAGTTTAAGCAGTCAATTCTTATTACAAATTTAGGAGGAAGCAGTATATATTTAATATTAACAAGAATAACTTACATCGCCGATAAATCGCTCCACTTTCCCCTGAATGAGCCTCCAGATGAACTCTATTTCCACCAGTTTGTAACAGGTCATGACAGGCTCCACAGTTTGCTGATAATAACATAAGTCATTAAAAGAATTATATGACGAGAGGTGCAAGTTCTTGTTACGATCAAAATGATTGTTGCGGAAGCAATTTAAAAACTGAACGATGGTAAAATCATGACAGTTTTATCACTTCGATAATTACCGCTTGCACAATCATGACAGTACGTGATATCTCATATTATCAAGCACGTAGGCGTGCGTGCTGCTAAACGACGCCCTGAAGCAACCAAAGTGACCAACAAGGTTGAGCCTACTTCCTAGGTATTCGAATGATCGAATATCATCGTACTGTTTGACAGAATTTCGTTCGAATTATGCAATTTTATAGATATAGGTTAATCCCAGATAACATAATATGTAACAGTTTAGAGTAGAATAAATGAGTGTATTCTAATCGACACTGCGTCTTTCTAGTTTTATCAAGCAGTGCACAGAAATTAGTTCGAGGGGTTTAGTTTCTATACTAAAATTGGATCGCGCGCTACGCAAGCAAAAGTTCCATTCTGGTACCGCCTAGGTTGGACATGCAAGAGAGACAATCGCAATCACGGCTGAGCGAAGATCTTGACAAAGCGAAGTGACGCTGCAATTTGCATGTGCGAAGTACATCAGCTGATCGAAGATCGCGCTCACTTGGATAATAGAAAATAACCCACTCCAATCTGGGCGAGAGCCGGCTTTATGAGCAAATTCTTATTAGCTGAAGATCAAATAAAGGGCCGAGGGTGTGGCCTATGGTGGCTTTTGTGACGGCAAAAATAATACTGTGCACCAAAAAATGGGAAAATGCAAAATTTAATCTTAATGAATTCCAAGTGGCTAGTACTCGCATCCCGAGTGATATGATTACTGTATTGGTCAAAAGTTTACTCAGTACACAATTATTTTCATGCGATAAATCGCTAAGAAGGATAATTCATGTGCAATATTTTCTTGAACTTGACCACGCAAAGAATTTATTACGCTCTGTTTGGTTTCTCTTTCTGGCTTACAATTACCACTGGCCGTTCAAACAAATGTCAGAATTTAAATACGCCCACTGGCGAAACTTTATGTAATTTCATTTTTCATTACGTGTCAGTTTTTATCTCTCTAATCTAAGCACAGTAATCTTATCACTTTATCAATCTGTGCCGGTTTTAAAAAGTATATTCGAGAATATTCCATGTAATTTTCCATGTTTTAACTAGCCTGCACTAGAAATTTCTAACTACTTTAACTCGTGGAATTCATTTGGCTGATTTATTGTATATATATAATCGTATATATACGATTAAAATGGAACTGATTACAGACCGCGAACTAGGCCACCGCAAAGTCACTTTTCTGTAGAAATTAGCTACAAATATTTACCCTCCAATCGGTAGTGGTAAGAGGCCCTCGCGGGTGGTTGTATTTCGCGGGATCGAATTCTTCTTTGTAATCCTGAAATTGTATTTTACTTGTGAAATTATACTTTCTTTGAAAAATATGAGCTTTAAGTTTAACTGATAAGACAGACCACGAGCCGTTAGCTGATAAAAGGTAACTTACAGATCGATTATATCCGATATAAAATTTAAACTTTACTGTGCCTATACCATTTCAATTTAATACAAATTGAAAAGGACAAAATCCTGTTATCCTGTAAAATGTGCAAGTGAAAAGAAAGATGTAAGCTTTGGCACTACCTACCCCTGATTTGATCACATCGTTGGCGATATCAATAGGCACAACTTCTCTGAGTGCCAGTTTTGAAGCCTCTAAACTGTGAACGTTATCTATCTCTCCTCTTCCGGGCTTATGCCACGTGGTTATCGACAATGTGAATCCTTTCTGCGGAGTGTAGTGAAAACTTAATAGGGGAACAATAGAGTTGTGTACATTTAAATTGCACACTACCGTAAATAGCACGTGTAAAGAAATAGTCCAGGGAACAGCACAGTATGTAATCCCACACATAACGGAGGATAGACTCTTAGTCTTACATGATACGTACAATATTAGCTTGTTTTAATTTAATATGTACTGGGGTTGCATACTGTATGGTATAGATTCTTGACCTAACGTAACGTAGAGCTGTCGAAACCATTTATTAACCTTCATATAATCTGGATTTGTAAGAACAGTTTTACAGTAAGGATAAGCATTCCAAGCTTCTTCTTGAAGTCTGAGGGCTCCCTCGGGGGCGATCGCTTTTATCCATCCGGGAACTTTACTGAAGTTATTATTTTAGAGTAACAACTTTATTTGAAACACACCCCAGTACGTGTAGTCTTTGAATGTAGCTCAAATTTAACTCAGCCTCAATACAGGTGTCCAGGGAAATGTTGGACATGATATGAAGGTTTTTAAAGAAAAAGAATCACCATTACATGTTCTGCTGGTAAAGCAGCTCTTGCTGAGATATCAAACCTTTGCAGATGATAGATCTTATGAGTGTACTGTCCACTACCGAACTCAGGGTGGTCAGTGAAGGGCTCGTTCTTCAGCACCTCTACGCCATCGCCACCGCCAGTCTCTGCTTTACTGGCTTCTACAACGGCGTACAACTGACCGACTTGGTATTCCTCAACTGTGAGGGGCAGAACGACTCGGCTGCGAGGAGAGGATTGTTTTATTATACTTGAACAACAGCTTCTGTTCTGTTAGGTTCGAATCACTCTTGAGTTGGAAGCTGTCCAACATCAGTTTACCCGCTTAACTGAGGGTATTGGCACACTGCCATACAGCAGCAGTGGATGTTGAGAACTCTTACAGTGTAAATAACTTAAAGATACATCTAGAATTTGTCATAAGAATAATTGTAATTTACTTAAGATTATTATCATTGGAAAAGCTTTGAAAGTGTCTGATGATGTGATAAGTAGATCCGAAGGAGATAATTATTTGGAGGAAAAGAGTAATCATAATGATTATCTGTGGTTCCATCTATATTTAGCAACGAAGTTTATTAATTTGAACTAGGGCTATTGGGCCTTCATAATTAACTTTATGAACTTATAATTTGAATTATTAATCTTAGGTATCATTATGTTTTGATTTGATTTGACTTAATTTTAGGTGTCCAACAATTCAATTATCAAGAAAATCAAGCTGAATCATTCAATCAGCAGTATATATGCTGTGCAAACAAAACAACCGTAAAAAGGTTAGCTAGAGAGACCACAGCTCATTTGCAGTATAATTGCTGATATCAGAAAGGTTTATCATTTCATCAATACCCTATGTATAAAGGTTTATGATTATTAAAGCAAATAATAAAAAAGAATACTTACAACTCTTTTATAATCATATCTTTATATCATACCAGACCCTAAAAGAAGAGAAATTGTTATTTTCTAACAGTACAGATAAATATTAAATTGGAAGTTTTTATCTTCATTTCGTAAAACAAGTAATTTCAAAGTTTGGCAAACTATAAAACCGATATCCGTATACATGTATAAACATGTACACTAACACAGTAGTATTATAAAATGTACTGTGCACACAAATCAAATTTCACAAGCGATGAACATACGCATTACGCACTAAGCTAGTATCTGTTGAGGTGTACACAAATTGTACGTTATTGGAATGTTATCATGATGGAAAAGGAATGTCGGATGAGCTTAATGTAAACTAGGCACTGATATATTCCGTACTTCCATAACACACAGACAATCGGAGACAAGGAACGATCTTACTATTCAAAGACTTTCTAATAAAGCTGCAGAGATGCAGCTCAGGGTACAAATTAGATTATAAGTTTACAGAGTGAGTGTATGTGGGCAGATGGCCAGTCTATGAGGGATGAAGACTTACATGTAGTAATAATACACGCGCTATACAATGTATGTGACTAGGGACACTACAGTTCATTGTTCAGGTTTGATTGTATTGTACGTAGAGATGTTAAGTTTGGTCAAGTTTATAACGCTTGCAGCAGTAGAATTAGTGCAGGCTAAACTTTAGAAAACAAGAAAATTTGATACCATGTTGCAAATCGCAAATTTGTACGAATAATGTACAATAATAATCCAAAAAACATTGTAAGCTAACTTTAAGCAGCACGATAAACAATGCGAACGTATGAAGCTGAAATAGAGACAAAGACAGTAATTTAACCCGATATTTTATCATGACATTTGACAAGTGGTGTCTCATTACAGAAAGGTAAGTCACGCCCATGATTAAGAAATCCGTCAATTTCACACTTTTGTACTCTTGTAACAGGATGAAAAGTGGAATAATAAGAGTACAACAGCACCAAAGAATTTTGATAATCCAACATAATCTGGGATGTAGTAACAAGTAATGAATTGCACACTATTGTAAGACAATGAGGCCACATTTTCTAAGACTGAAGGTTTCTAAATTTAGCAACCAGCGCCATTTATCACATGATATACTACGAGAAATAAAAACGGGGCCTATCTATAAACTTACAACATAATTTCTCAAATAAAAAGGTATTATGTCAACATGTTTAAAGATTACATGTCCGTATCATCATCGTCTGAATCGTTGAGTGCCTCCTCTGCATATGTCTTAGCCTCGTTATAGATGTCCTGAGGGACAAGCTGGTGGGTACCTCTGGTTTCTTTTCCAATCCAGCTCAGTTCTAGCTCAAAATGTTTGTCTTTTACTTCGTCGTGCACACTGTAGATAACTTTTGCTACTTCTTTGACAAGTTCTTTGCAGGTCATGTTCGAAAGGTCTAGTTTTTCGATTTCTGTCTTGGCGTTTTGTTTTCCTTTGCCAACAGCACAACCGTAGAAGCCGCGAGCTGTGCCAGAGGGATCGATCTCCATGAGCTTTGGCCCGTTAGTCTCATCCCAGGTTCCAAGGAGTATACTGAAATTAGACACGAGAATTAATATCAGATTCGTTCATAATTACGAACTATCAACAAATTGAATTAGAAGTTTTAAAAAAATATAAGCATGATTCAAAATCAAAGAGTTGACTGATTAAAATGCAAGCTAAATACAGGGTGTCCTAAAAACACGACCAACTTGTGATGTTTGTTAGTAACTGATTAACAACCTCATTTATCAGTAATTACAGTTATGACCTCCGTAGGCAATGACATATTTTTCAAACATTTCGTTCATCCGAGAGGGCGTGGTAGCGATATAATTTATCTGGCTAATTTTAAAATATGCGAGATATCGTTAAATCAGTAATTAATTTGTTGGCGTGAGCTGATTGGCTCCCAGATCGGGTCATGGTCAGTTAAACAGGTGATCAGCTACTCAGCTGCTGTCTAGTTACCAGATGGGCAGGTTTTTGCAGAGTGGATACTGGATTTGCTGCTCATAAATGAGTAAAAACCCACTTGGTCTTTTCGGACAACCTGTACCGAGTTACAAATCATACAAAAAAATGAAATCATGATTACCTGACTCCAAAAGGTCTGAGACTACCGTAAACTGTGAAGTAGTGCATGTATTTTCCCAGACGTTCTGTCAGAGCCTTGAGAGGTATAGGGACCTGGTAAGTATCTCTGTAGTTAGCAGCCTCATCGCGGGCACGGTTCACCACAGCACGGGCGTCTGAGAGCAGACCTGCAACTGCTGCTCCAATGTGGCCGTCTATACTGTGAACGCGTCTGTTTGATCCTTCCTCGTATAGTTTAGATGTTATAATTTTTTCGACACCAAAAACTACTCCGTCTTTTCCACGAAGAGCAATGACTGATCCACTGTTTTCAACAGCTTTAATGGCATATTCTACTTGGAAGACTCTGCCATCAGGGGAGAACTGTCCAGCAGATAAATCATACCCGGAACCTATAGAACTCATCCTGT